CAAATTTTGATCAACTATATACATAGAAAATGAAAAAAAGCCCAAGTTTTTCCGATGTGTAAGTATGACTGACTTTAGTTTTGGAAATATTACTAAGTACCACAGGAAGTTTCAGCATAGATCTGTATCTACTTATAATTTAAGTCCAGCTTGTAAATATATGCTGTCACTGCTCTAGAACAGATTTTATTTTTAGCAAGTCCAGTCTCACATTGTATAACCATTTATTAAAACATGCTCCAATAAAAGGCTAACAAATGCAGATGTGACAGATGACAGTTAATTCCAAAAAGTTCAGGTTTGCTTCCCCTATATAGATCCACAGATGACAAAAAATGGTACACAGTTTTATTTAATCCACATTTCATCTGAGTGTAGATTTACAGAGGAAGCAGGCTCATTTCTGACAATTCCTGAGGAAGCTGAACGAATTAAGATGTTAATCTGCTCTTTTTCAGCTGAACTCCCCTGATGGAATTGCAGAGGTATTTGACAGTGACAGATTAAAAAAAAAAAAAAAAAATCAGGCTTTTGTGATAGCTGCTCCTGAGCTCGTGCTAACGCACAGCAACAGCCAGGCGCGCCGTCTGAGCGATCCCATACGGCACAGTGTTGCCTGCCACATCCATTTTTCAGCAAAATGTACCTAAAACAGGCAGCAACTCTCCAGTGCCAACAATTATCATTCTTCCCACACTGCCGTTATTGCGTTATGCAGCAGTGCCACAGCCACCACGTCCAGCCAATGCAGGGCCATGTTTTACCTCTCCAGAGGTGCCCGCTTGCTGGTACCAAGTCACATCTTGTAAGACTTTTAAAAACACTCATCAGTCTCTGTTATCAGTGACAGTTTCTCAATAGTGACTGTGAAAGTTATTTTATACAGAATTGTGTGCAACACTTCATAAATAAAGGCCAGGGAAGGGCAGTAGGTAGGTTTAAACTTGCAGGCCTTCCACTGTTCTACTCTGTGGTCCTGGGAAAGGTAATTTCACTTCATTTTTAGATAAGTTAACAATACAATATTATTGAGAAGTGAAAGAGAGCCAGTTGCATCTCCTTCCGTTCAGTCTTGATCACATAGCAGCTCATTAGTCAAACTATTAATTTTTCTAACAAGACTATGTGATTACTGACACTAAATATAAAAATGTCTGTGCCAGTCCAGAACAGGCAGCATGTAGTAGTGTTATACACACTCCTCTAAAGGGGAGAGGCATAATCCTTACATATTCTATATATCTCCCCAGGAACTGCATGCAGTAACAGCCACACAAACAGAAAAGGCAGGTTACCAATGAAGCCTCAGCATTTTAGGTTTATAACAGGATGACAGCTTGAGTCTCGCGCTTCTAAAGTTTTGGCAATTTTGCCTATACTGTTTTAAGCATTTTCTTTTCTAAGCAGTAAATTTATTGAAAAAAAAAATCATACAATGCTTACAGTTTGCCTGTCAACTGACTTTCTCTCTAATGCCTATTTAAAAATCACTTTTCAAATATATTTTAAGCCTTAATTCTAAATTGCACACTTTAAAATGCCAAACAAAGTTAAATGGCAACACGATGATCTCCTGCATCATTATCCACGGGCAGCTCTATCTAAATCACATGCATATTGTCTAAATAAGTCACTATTTCTAAGGGGGACTTTAAATAAATAATTTAAAAACTGCTAAAAAAGAATCAGCAAAGCACAGCAGGCTCTCAAAGAATTCAATAACATCATGTTGATCGACAAGACTGACAAGTCCAAATACAACTCCGAATCTCATCAACAGAGTCGTTCTTCAATGCAAACAGAAATAGCAAAAGAGGAGATTAATGAAGCAGTTGAAGCAGACAGCTGAAGGGAGCATTGCTGAAAGTTCTCCTGATGCTGACATGTTAAAATTCATCTACTTAGCCAGGCTCAGGAGCATCCAGTTTGCTGGAAGCCCTGGAAAACTGTCAACTGGATGAAGTGGTTGGTTGGTTTGTTTGTATTATGGGTAGGCAGACACAAATTAAGCATTATATGGACCTGCTGCCATGGAATATCTCTGCAAGCCCAAAATTGTCTTCGGGTTTTTATCACAGGAGAAAATAGACACCAAATCATTTCCTGTTGACAGATTCTCTCCCCCAGCTCCAGAGGTATTTTCCTGAGGCAAGACTTTAAGGCCACGGGAAATACAGGGGTTGAATTACACCCACAGTAGCTGGACATGGAGGTCCAGCTTTACCTCTGGAGAGGCAAAGCAAGGTCAGAGGAAAACACTAGGATATTAGGACTAGAAAACATAGAGGACATTGCAGTTCCAGAAGCAACTTCCAAAATAGTATAAATTTTAGAAAAAATAGTTTTTTCTAATGCTTAATGTGGGAAGGATGAAAAGACCTTGATAATAATAGCACACACTAATCATTTTGGTAAGATTTTTAAACTGTCTCAGTAAAAATAAATTCTCATATAGAAAAATCATCTATTTAATATCCATTCTTGCAAATTTTCTCCCTATTAAACAAATTTCCCTTCTCCTTTTAAATAACATTTTGCCAATCCATCCTCTCTCACACGCACATACAAACTGCTATGTTCTGTTCTCTCTCTATCCTCCTCTGCATTGTCTTCCTCTCCTCACTAATAGAAAAAAAAAGGAATAAAAAAGAAAAAAAGGAAATAACAATAATTTCATCCACAAGCTACAAGTTTCCATCAATTCCCCCATTTCTCCCACGCCCAGCTGGCTGAGCCAGCGCCTACCTTCCGCCCGCTAAGGAGACCTCCTGTGTGTCCAGCTGGCTACAGCAACCACTGCAACCCGGATTATTGCTCATCATCCACACGATTATTCCCCATAACAACATGTATTATCCACATTTAGGAACCAGAGACACAAATCCCCTTCGTAAATTCCTGGGCGCCGCAAAATGTTAACCCACAGTGTGAATAGTTTCTCAGGGAGCAGAGAACCTTCCTAAGAATGGCCAGCTTAGACGACCCATTCAGCCTTTTTTTGGTTTATTTGTTTTAAATACTATTTTTTTCTTCCTCCAACTTTTTTCTTTTATAAAAATGTGGTTAGCATATAAACATTTTGTCAGCTACAGGCCAAACAGGGACAAGAAGAATGCAGTCAAGAAGGAAGTCACAGGCTATTTAACTTCCTTAATATTCATCCATATTTATGACAAATTAACAAAAAGGCTAGAAACTGGATTACAAAGAAATACAATGCAGCTCACTTCAAATGCTTTTGCCTTTTTTTTTTTTTTTTTTTTTCCCCCCTTACACAAATGAATGAATGAACACATTCCACTGTTCACCGCTGCAAGTGTGTTTTCCTCCTTCCAGGCGCTGGAATTAGTAGTGCACTGCTTTGTCAGATATAAGCAAAGAGCAATTGAATGCAGACAAATATATATATATATATATTTGACTGCTCCCTTGGTCCTTCTGGAGGTAGACGGGGCAGGCGCTTTCAAGGAATGACTTCAGGCTGCCATTAAAGAACTGACTTTTTGTATTGTGATATTGCTGAATCATGTGGCTAAATCAAAAATCACATGTAAAAAAAGAAATCTTCAAACTTCTTTCCTATGCTGTCTGTGCCATGTGCCTTCAGATTTCCTCTTCCTCCAAAGATAAGGGTCAACTAGGTTTTTATTCTATTGTAATTTTAATCTGTGCTCCTCCAAGAATCTCTCAGAGCTGCATGTTATTTCAGACTAGTTGATTCCTGAAAATTAAGAATGGTTTTCTGATAGTCTATGCTGTTGTCCCACTATGTTATATCTACATTTTGCCCCCCTGTTTCTCAAGGGGTCTGCATGCATCTTCTCAATTCAAATCAGTCGTCTTGGCCTCTGCTTTATTTTTAGCTGCTGTAAAAGAGCCTCCTCATTAGCACTGTGGGATTATCCTCTGGGAATGCTAGCAAGCTTCCCTTTCTCTAGGAGATTCTCATTTTGCTCTCACCTTCCCCTCCAACTCTTCCACCTTTTTTCCAGAGAAATTCCTTCAGACATGCTGAGATAAACACTGACAGATGTGACATGAATACAAATGTTTTTAAAAGTTCTTGCTTTTTTTTCACTTGAAATATTAAACCTGAATTAACTGTGTCTAAAAGATTTCTTCCCCATATTTTATCACCAAGCTTAATATAATAAAAAGCACAAGGGCTTCACACAGGATGCAACAATACTTCTAGCAGAATGATCACCAGTACAAAGTGATATTTTATACTTTTGGAAAACATTTTCTTATCAAGGTCATTTCTGAAAGCAGCATCAGGAACTGAAAAAAGAAATAAGCTGAACTGACAGCAAAAGATCAAATCTACATCCCAAACCCATCTCCAAAATAAACTCACTAACAAATCTCAAGCAATCAAGACATTTTGTTCATCTACTGCTTGGCTATCTCTGCAGGGAGGAGGACGAGGGCAGGAAAATTAACAGAGCTCCTCCTTTTTTCCCCTACTCTATTTGCTTATGTAGAACCACCAAAAATTTGTGAAAGAAATAGAGCACACGTATGCCTGAAATGAAACACGTTTAGGTGGAAAAATGAGACCATTTCTCCTTTACTCCCTTTTGCCTTGCTGGGTACTTGGAGACATTAAGCTAATGAAGCTCCTTGAAATATCCTTCCCATCTTCAGACATTCTGAATTGGAAAAATCAATTTAGAGCTTTCCCACCAAGAGCCTACTTGCCAGAGTGGAAGCTAACTACAAAAATTAGCATCCTCAATATTGAATCAATTATTTAATAAATTAAATAAAAAACAGATGTGTGCACCAGAAATTCCAATGTAGATCCCTCTAGTAAAGAATAAGGCAGTTCAGAATACTAATTTTAAAACCAAACCAGTGTTACACTCGACATCTCTTCAATTTATACATCATTTCTAAATAATTTAGTTTTATGCTGTTTCAAATTAAACAATAAAATGAAATCAGAGCACTTAAGAGTGGAGAGAGGAGGTCTCTGATTCAGGCTTGTGACATTTTACCTCACAAAGCAGTAAGTCAATGATGTGGAAGACCATGCAGAGTGGAAACTTGGCAGTAAAAAGAGTGAGAAACCACTGGGATGCATACATATGAGCTTCCAAATTCAGGTCCAAGAAATGGCTGTACAAGTCAGGCAACTGCTCCTAGGGTAAAGGAAAAAACAAACGCTTCAAAACCACTCATTAATCTTCTGAGTTCATGATAAACACTGTCAGCAAGTACCAGGTTGCTAAACACTGAAGAACAGAACAAAATGAAACCTTGGCTACTTCTGAGCAAAGAAGTATGTTTCTCCATAAATTTCAGTGTCCATGATTTTTGTGATAACCACTAGAGATTCTGTTTTAGAGAAGGTACAGTAAGGTTTAACCACTAGAGATTCTGTTTTAGAGAAGGTACAGTAAGGTCATAGGGAGAAATTACAAAGTTGCTAAATCTCAAAACAGAGAAGAGGCAGAGTACTTGTGAAATGTATGCCATGCATGGCACATATTTTTACAAGTTATTCCTTAATTGTGGCTTTTTGTAAGTGCTTCTGCTAAATTTTGGAACAAGGAGTTCAGCCTGCAGACCATAAAACATCAAAGCATGTCTTAAGTTTCAGAACTGCATGAAACAATTTTTCTAGATAGACAACAGAGATGAGCAATGTAAAGTTAGCCCTGGAAATTCTAGTGTATGTCAAGAACATAGGCTTCTTCAGTTACTAAATAAACATCTTTGAAAAGACCATGTACCAAAGTAAAATACCAAATGAATTAGTATTCTACGTGCTCTGCAGAAAATATGCATAAATCAACAACTGTAGTCTGTGGACATTTTTGTTTGTTTTTAATAAATCTCATGGAAGGAAAAATTAATGCCTTTCTGTTATGGGCAGGTGACCCAAAGAAATAGCTTTCACTATGATAACAGAACAACAGGTCAAAACTTACACTGGGCTCTTATAAACTGCACAGTAGTCAAAACAACAACTTGCAATAGTTAATTTACATTAAGTTGCTCTGGATATGAAATAATTACATCTGAGAAAAAGCAGCAAAGTATTCAAATCACAGTAGGATCTACAAAATGACCCAACTTTTGATTTGTATTTCATAATCACCAGCATGTCCTGATTTGCCTAACCTCTTAGTCACCACCACAGGCCACAGAAAGTAGGACACTGGTGGTGGCAGTCCAAAAGATTCCCTGACCTTTAAAGGCCACAAAAATTCTCCTAGGTGACATCACAAAATAGGGAAGAGAAAAAGTAAGCAAGCAGAGACAAGAGAAAGAAAAAGAAACATTCCTACTCTGCTTGGACACAAAGATTAGCAGCAAGACTTGGTATTTGAAAGCCAAAAGAAAGAGAAATAAAATTGACTCACAATGTTTGGATTTAGATATTACATTTCTCTGCAAAGGGGGCTGATGTATCCAAGTTTTGGTTCAATTGGACCTCTAAAATAATAGGCTTTTTATTGTCAGGTAGGTTATGGAAAAAATGCTTTAGCCTCTTGACCACACTAGTATTTCAATTTATGAAGTACAAGAATTTTGTAACCTGGCCCCACCTGCAGCAACTTCTCCAGCTGGAAAAATTTGCAATGGAGATCTTCAAAATTATTTCTGTAGAGGTCCCTCAAGCCATAGTCATACATTATTTTCACCAATACACAGAATGCTTGCTCTTCTGGCATCTGTTTGGAAAAATACACAAATATAATTTTAAAAACTAAGCTGAAGTTGGAAGGTCCTTACACAAATACTCACATATATCCACACTTAAATCACTTATGTAGGATGGATTCTAAACCAGGCGTGTATTAAACTGCTCATCATGGCACTCAGTATTTAGAATTAAGTAACTATAATCACAAGGGGAATATTCTCCTTGATGAGCACCTTGATCTGGGTCTAAGAGATTCTTTGAGGAAAATGTGAGATCAGAGTACAGGTCCATACATGTAGACATGGCTACAACTGCACAACTGTCACTGGCATCTTTTTGCCAATATGTAGGAATATACAATTCTCATCTACAAGAGCAACTACAAAATAGATAAACAGCAATCCAAGACAGAAATTTCTACTGAGAGAGACTTAGTTAACTGGGAAAAGCATTTGAAAACACTGAAGGATAACTGTCCCTTAGTGAGAATATCTGCTATTTGCTTCCATCCAAACCCCAGGAAGGCAAATGCTCAGAAGTTAGGCTTCCCAAAGTGGATGCAGAAATGCAGTTTGCCTTCAAAACCTCATCATGAGACCAGGAAGGCTGAATTCACCCATAGACAGCGGGCCTTTTCAGAAGCCTTATCTCTATAATCACCATATTTCACCTTGACCAAAACTCCTTTTCCAACAGAGTTATAGTTTGTCCCTTGGTGTGGTTGCTATGGGAGCCATCTAAAATCACATTCACTGGCTTGAGCTCATTGCAAGCTGAATTTGTATGAATGCTTTTATTACCAAACTTCCACTGGTCAGACATCTCCGCACTTTCCCCTGCTTGCAGGTAACATAATAGTAAAATATGGATAAGCAGAGTCACTGCAGACCCCTAATCAGGTCATCAGTTACTCAAAAAATTTCCTTTTGCAGGTACCGGATTGCTACAACTGAAAACAATTACCCAGTATCAAGAGTGACAACTCTTGACCTTTTAGTATATCCGTTCGTTCACATCCTTGCCAACCCCTCAGCAAATATCAGCAATAGATAAAAGCTCAGTATTTTCTTCAAAGAGAATTTTAGTCTCTTGATATCCACCTCCAGGGTTTCATCTTCTATGGTTTAGACTATGATTATGTTCTGTCTCCAGGGCCACAGCTGAAGCAGATGCTTTCATTTTCAGACAGCACATATAAAAGCCACCAGCTACTGTCAGGAAATACCAGATTCACCGCAAGCGATTTCAACAGGCTAAATGCACCTAGACCGAGCTGTTGTGAATCTCAGATCTCTTTACCACAGTTCTAGCTGGATAGAATGATCCCCACTGGCAGCAAACAAAGGCCACAGACAAAGTTAAGGGAAGAAACAGCTTTATGCTGACCAAAAAGCTTAAACTTGCTCTAAAACAAGCTGAAAGCAATTTTTTTTTTTTTACCCTAGCAGGAAAGGTAGTGTTATAAACATTCTATTAAAGAGAGTGTAATTGCCAGTTAGTATTCCTTCTGTACAGAGCAATTTCTTCTAACTCCAGAAACACTAGAAACAAAGGCAAGGCTCTCTAGCAAGGACAGTATACGCCCATATGACAGAAGCCAAAATATCAAAAAGATGTTAAAAATGCGATATCCATTTATTTCTAAGAACCTCTGAAAATAATTATTTTTCAAGTAGTAATTAAAAGTCTTTCTTTAGGTAAATTTTTAATGGAAAAACAAAAGGCAGATATGTTCATTTTTACTATACGTGGGACTGCAATGTGACTAATTTCACATTTATCTTGAAGAACCTAAAGCTTTTCTGTAACACTGGTAACGTGTTCATTACATCTGAAAGATGACACAGATTTCCTTAGGAATTATAACTTATAGTTAAAATGACTTGAATTTGATTTTGTGGAAACTATGTATGCAATATAAGCCAAACAGCCCTATACAGAACCAGAAAATCAAATTATTCCAATCATGATTAATAATTAATTAAAGCCTATCAGAGAAAGCATGGAACAGCATAAATAATAGTGGTTGGGATTTATATTCCCACCCCTCTACCATATTATTTACAATACTCATACAATTTACATCTACTGCTTATCCTGTGATATATCTTGGAATTTAAGTAGATTGTGAATATAAAAAATGCACATTTATCTATCTGTGCACACGCATACACACTCATGTATTATGAAGTAAAAGATGAAAGTTTTTACAGTTTTTGGTTACAGGCTAAAATATGGTTCAAAATAGGTTTTCATTTGAAACATTTTATAAAGTGTCTCTAGGAGAAAAAGTGTCGTTGAAAACTCATAAGACTGTTCTGATTAGTTGTCCTGAGAATATCTCCCAAAGTTGAATTCCTCATAAAGGCAATGGAAGTTTACTTAGACAAGAATCAGATCAAAGGAAAACAGCAATACAAAACAAAACAGTTTCAGGTTTAGGAATAAAATTACTTTTATTTTTTTCTTTTAAAGATAATCTGTATTGTCAAAAGCTGAAACACTACAAGACACATTACTTCATCTCTTAAAAACCCTAATTGATCTTGAATTAATGGATTTTGCCTAGACAGAGGAAATACACATTGACAGTGATATAAACCTTTTATACACTATTTGCCAACAAGCAACAAAAGGTAACAAACACAGACAAGCAAACCACAGTCAAACAGTACGCTATATACTGTTTTTAAAGCTGCTTTGGTGTCAAAATAAATTTGCTTTCATTTTGCAATTAACTCACATGAAGAAGTAGCACAGCTGCGAGGAAAGACTGTCCCTGGCAATAGCCAATGTCTTCATCATAGACAGAATAGGCCTAGAAAAGACAAAAGCCATCCACAATTTCAGATCTATGTACGTATTATCAAATTCATTTTAATCAATGAGCTATTCAGAATACAAAAGGCTACGGAGGCCAAAAAGATGAAGAGGGGAAATTGTAACCATTCTTGAACAAGCTTTTGGTACACTTGAAAAAGGCATAGTTCAGCCTTAATCTTCCACATGCAAAATATTTGAGTGTGTATATATACATACATATGTGCGTGTGTGTGTAGATATGTATATGTGTGTGTGTGTGTCTGCATATTTAGTCATGAAAAGATCTGGATGCAATCTCCCTTCACTTAAACCTGGGATAATTATGCCAACATCAGTACTGCGATAATGATAATAATACAAGTCTGAACTAAGAATTAGGCTAGAAATTAAAAAAAAAAAAAAAAAAAAAAAACACACACACACACACACATCTTACGCAAATTAAATCTAGGACCCAAGGATGCTGCCTAGGAAGCCAGTGAGGATTACTGTGGGCTGACAGCTTCATCAGAAGCAACCTTTCCATGTCCTTACTATGCTGAAAAATGAGTAAGACTCATTTTCCGATGGTAAGATTGCTGTGCCACCATAAAGCTTTCCTGAGGGAAAAAGCTTTCCCAAGCTTTTGAACACTGAGTTCAGGAGAATAAATTTAATCATGCACCTTTCAAACTTCTTTACTTTAAAACATTTAATAATATTTTAGAATCAAGCTGATTTTTTTTCCTCATGAGAGTCTAAGAGTAAGTCTTTTCTTTCTTAAATGTTTTAATAAGCTGTGAAGCAGTTCACAGTCTTGACATGAAAAGTATTATCAGTGATGCTTACTAAAATAAGGTTTAGCATCCCAAATCAACACCACAGCTGTTAGCCCAGGTCACTGACAGATCATTTCCTCAAATTACAACAGATAAAGGCAAAAAGGAGGTTGCCCTTTTATATTATGGCTTTTTTTTTTTTTAATTAAATGAATGCTAAAACTGTAGCATGCCTGAGAAAAACCCTTCATTTTCTCTCACACAGACCCTTATTCCCATAAGCTTTTAAGTGACCCTATGGTCACTATTAATATTAGAGAGGACACTGTTTACAGAGAGGAAGCAATATGGTCCAAATTTTAAAAAACTGTACATCAGCTACTGCACACCATATACAGCACAATGATATAGTTCATATGGACATTTCACATTGTCTTATTTTTCTAAAGGAACTATTTATACCAAATAACACTAATTCTTATAATTTCCACATGCCAAACTCCTGAGTACGCCGCAAGTGCTGTTGTTTCATTACCACATCGGTAGAAAAAATTAAGAGCACTAAAACTAATGCACATCATCATCATCATAATGCCCAAACTATAATATATCACATCTTTATTAGAATTACCCTCTAAAAGATGAAATACAGGGGACAGATGATAAAAGAGCACTGCAGACTGCTGCATCCTCACACTCTGCCCCCAAGGGCTCTGATAATACTTCCTTGCCTGGGCTCTGATGAGAGGCCTCCCTAGGCCACGTCTTGTGAATACAAAAATTGCTTCATAAACGATTTTGATACCATCCCAGTCTCAAAATGAGGGTCTAAATTTGTTGTGTGCTGAAAATATATTGTATCTTTATCTCAGGAATGTTTTTATTTCTATTGGTCAAATAAATACAAAACAGTACTTAAAATTACTCTGTTTCTGCACTGAATTATCATAAATTTATTTCCAACTTCTAAATTAATATTGCATATATCTAATTAGTACCATGTCTGACTAATAATAATAACTCAAGTAAGAATTAGTAAGAATTCAAGTAAGAATAATTCAATAAGAATTCAAGTAAGAATTCTTAGAAAAATAAAAGTAGTGTAGGAAGAATATTTTTCCTTTATTTCTGTGTCCAGAAATCTGTCAGGCTATAGATGCCTCCTATTTCTTTAGAATGTCCAAAGACATTTGATTTTTGCTTTTGAAAGACTATCTCTATTTAAAAGCAGATAAGTAAAACAACAAGTAACAAGTTTTGTCACTTTTTTTCTCCACACTATATAAAAAAAACCTTTTGTTCTTCTTAAAAAATCTAAGCTGTAAAATTAATAGGAAACAATCAACCTGTGTGCAGGTTCTCGCTGTTCTGAGAAATATTATTAACAAAATAGTTAATAATTTGCTAACATCAGCAGTGAATTAATCCAAACATGTTTTATAATAAGCATTTAAAAACCACCACACTGGAGCAAACAAATCTCCTCTAAAACAGACTATGGATAAGCAAGCCAAGAAAGCTATCGGAAATAAAAAAGAACTCCTTCAGAGAAGATGAAAGAGGCTAAAATTGTGGCCAAAGGAGTAAAATGGGGAAGGAAAAAAAAAAAGAAAGAAAAAAACTCCATCGAATCCCAAACTCTGCATGTAAAATATAGAAATATTTATGCAGACCAATAAATGTTCTCCTAAATACCTTCTTAAACATTTCAAAACTTTTCACGAAACTTTGAGTCGTTTTTTTTTACCAGCACAATCTGTGAAAGTGTCAACGACTTGCAAATTATTATTTACTTCTGTGACTCACGAATCTCTGATTACAATCCTTCAAATAACTAAGATTTTAATTATTCTCTCTCTCTCTCTCTTTCAAATAAGCCTTATTAAAGCCTTACTTAAAATTCACTTAACTCCTTTTGACTAAAGGATCTTCAATTCATCTACAGAACTGAGGCCTCTAACAGCTATCTCTGTGCTGGGAGAGATGAGGGCCTCATCTCTTCCAGCATTTAAAAGATGAATAGTAAGGAGTACATCTCAAATTCCACAACAAACTGATTTTCATTTTGTTTGCATCCCCAGGAGCATGAGAGATCACTGCTTGTGCTTGCTGAAGGTTCAAACATACCTGAAATAACAAAGTGCCGCCCAGTGCTAACTAGCAAATATCAGAAATTCAATTACATTAATTGCACTGCAAACAAAACAGAGCCCATAAAGAATATTGCAACAGCCTGACTGCACATCCAAATCACTGTGTTAACTAAAGCTGTATGTTTAGAAATTATTTCCTTGTTGATGGAGTATAGCAGAGAGGCAGCTCTATTTTGCCCGTGAGGCCTCGTGCAGACGCGTAGGCCCCACAAGGGCCCGGAGAAGGGAGAAGCTGCCCCGCTCGCTCGTCCCTGGCGGACTCCTCCCGGAACGGTGCTTCCATCCTCTTCCCACCACTCAAGATTCACAGGCCTGACCTTTTTACTAGTGCAGGCTCAGCAGAAAATCCATATTCAGGAACAGTCCCACTGCTTCCTTGCTGAGCGCAGATGCACAGAGAAGGAGCCTTATTAATATGTAAATTGAAGAAGACAAGATAACACTAAAAATCCTTTGCATGAAACAAGACAACAATACTTTACTTAAAATTGCTCTTCAATGCACAAGTGCAGAAAATAAACAACTAAAAATAGATGAAAAAAATCAGTCTTAACTGGTTCTGCTTATGGCCCTTACTTATACTAAAACTGGTGAGAGGCTGCTGTAAGAAAGCAACAGCAACCAGCCCTAACCAGCTAAACCAAAACCAAAGTAGACAAATGCAGCAACTGTCTAGTGGTAAGTTTTGGAAGATACTAAGAAAAAAGAGAGAAAAAAAAAAAAAAAAAAAAAAAAAAAAAAGACACTGCAGGAAACTGAAACTAAGAAAGGAAATGAAAGACCTACAATTTACAGGGCAGATCTGGCTTATCTGGGCATAAAAACTATTGGCCCCAAAAGGGCAATTTGACCAAGACACTGTTCATATTTCAGTCACATCATCTGCAGCTAAGAAAGCTCAAATCCAGTGGTGGGTCCCATTAAGTATTAGCTTTGCTACAAGAAGGGTTCATTGCTCCCCCTACTCCTCTGGATACCAACAAGAAGACATTGGCAGAACTACTGAAACAGAACGTTGGAGTCACAGTAACCAACTACTGGTCCTGTCCTGCACATAAAGCCTTCTGGCAGCTACAGCTGGGGCTAGCAATAAACTCCACATTTGATGAACCAAAGAGACAAGTATTCAATAACCAAGTGCTCCATAATACAGATGTTCTCACGCCTTTTTTCATAGGAGAAAAAACAAGCAAACAAACAAACAACAAAAAACCCACATACACTAAGACCAGTTTTTGATCCCTGAGATTCACCAAATCAGAGAAGAGTTACCAGGCAAGCAGCAAAAAATAGATCTAAAATTATTAACCTAGAGAAACTGACTGATTTCTCTGCAACATACTGCATTTCTCTTATTAAAGTCTCAGTGGTGTTTGTCAAATAGGAGCTACTTTAGTCAGAAAATTAGACAAAAAAGGTCACGTTAAATTGTGCACTGCAGGCACTCCAAGCAGTGGAGAGGACTCCTTCTGCCAAGTGCCTTGATTCCCTGAAACATAGCACTGTTAACTACATATGTAAACATGGAAGTAGGTCAAGAGCATTATTCCATTATTCACCAAAACATGGAGAAGGAACTCTTCAAATATACCTAGAATTTTCATGGTATTTAAACAGAAAGGACCAAAGAAACAAACGTATTTTCCAAAGATGTCTGCTCTGTACGAATCTGGCTCATCTGATGCCCTTGGGTGAAATCACAAATCCAGAAGCCAGAGCTGCTAGCTCTTCCCTCTCACTGCTCACCACCATTGTCAGCCTTCAAAGTTTATTTTTAGATACTTTGTTACACAAATGTTCTGCAAGAGAAAAAGTTTCAAGCTTTCTGTTTCCTGTGCTCTGCAGGAGAGAGGCAGGGAAGGAACCAGAGCCGGCAAAGCGGCAGCAGCGAGGTCGGCAGCAAGCTGCACTCTCCTCCCTGTCTGGCAGCTCAGATCACTTCGCATTGCAGCGGGCACAGAGAAGCTGCTCTCCAGCTTTTTACTCTCCTGTCTTAGAACAACCTTCTTCCAGCCTTATTCAATAATCTCGTTATGCAAATATCTTATTTTCACATTAGAAAAAGGGCATGAACACCCAGTATCTTCCAGTACCTCTATTAAAAGTTACACTGAAAATACAAGGCTGTCAAAACATTATTTTCAATCCATACAGTCTGCTGAGATTTTTGGAAAACCTTCAACAAGATCCCTGCTAAATGACTTTTAAGAAAACTAAACCACCATAGGAGAAAGTCCCAATATGTGTTCAAATAATTTATTAAAGGATAGAAAATAAGGAGGAGGAATAAACAGTAAGTTTTCATCCACAAAAAAAGAGGGTGAGCTAACTCCCAGAGTCTTACAAAAAGAGATGATGGGGCTGGAACTGCTGAAAACATTCATAAATCCTGCACAAGTCACACAAAGAGCAAGGTAACAAAGTCTGCTGATAAAGCAAAGCTGTTCAGAGCAGTAAATCAAAAACTGACTGCAAAGATGCTATGTGGGACCCTTTCTTATCAAGGGGAAAGTGGCAAAATGGCAGAGGTGATTCAACTGCTGATAAATGTAAAATACTCTGAGGAAAAAAGTAGTCTTCAATTTATGGCAAATACTGGTAAGTGATGATCTAGACCTTTCAAGAAATGCAGGAATGAGAGGGGAAGGTCCTTAATCTGCTGAGAGAGAGGTCTTGAGAGCGGGAAGAGTTCCCAGCTTTGGAAATCAAATGATGTACTTCATCCTTAGCCAGGGAAATCTGGGAAGAACAGGAATCTCTGTCTCTCTCAGGCTGCCTGCTAGTCAGTTCTGGTGAAATCATATTCATCCCTTTATCTTTTTCTCTTTATTAAAGAGAATAGACTAAGATTTTCTCCTTCTAGAGCATGCTCTCAAATCATGGAATAGTTGTCACATATCTTCTACAAATTCTTTCTGGGTTAGAAAATGTTATCTTGAATTCTGGACACAGTAATCAAAATCAAGAGCAGCTGCATCTACTGTGAAATGCTGAGACACCTGAATCATGTTACTCCTACATCAGATTCATCTAATATCCCCTTGCCCTCTTTATTAAGAAGCATACCCTTTATTTATAGCCCTTTTTCTGTCATCCACAAATTTTTATCTTTTTTTTTTTTTTTGCTTTCTTTCAAGTGATTAATATAAATGCAGCAAATAAATTTTATTTTTGTTTGAAAACGTTTATTCAGTGCTGATAATGAGAGACTTTCCAGCTAGCTACTTTTTAATTCTTTAATGTATAGCTTGTTCGTATTCTAACTTGTCTAGCGGTTACAATTCTTACACAGCATCAGACCAAATGATCTACAGAATTTGGAAAAAAATTACTTTCACCCAACCTGTATTTTTTTTTTTAAATAGCTTGTCAAAATCTATTTTCAATAAACCCATATGTATTCATTATAATATATTTTCACATTTAATCCTTGATAAAGCTGAAAGCCATTCCATCATTTTTCATTTAACTGATATCAGACTGACAAGCCAATAATTACCTGCATTGTCCTAGTTATTTTTGTTAAAGATTGACATGAGAACATTTTTCTCATAACCCTCATAAACACCTTTTGTGTTCAAAGATTTGAATCAATTATATTGATTTCACACTAAAGTCCTTTATGCTCCTTATTTATTTTATTTTTCTAATGTGAATTACCTCGGATAATGAATTCAACAATATCTAAAAAAGCAGCTATATTTAACAGGTATCCAATTATTGCTTGAACAGGAGACTATCACCACAGTATATATCTGGAGAACAGCAGTATGTATTATCATGCCCCAAAGGCAGGACACTGTTTACTGAATTCTTCTGGCTTTCCTGCTTATTATTGACAATTCCATCTCACAGACATCTATCTGCCTATTAATCCATTGGAGGAGAGTAATAAGGAAAAGAAGAGAAGTTGCTTTAAAAAAAAAAAGAGAGAGAGAGAGAGAGAATGATGGATAATAAGGAAAAGAAGAGAAGTTGCTTTAAAAAAAAAAAAGAGAGAGAGAGAGAGAGAGAGAGAGAGAGAGAATGATGGATAAAGCCACAATCAAAACCTACAATCGGCAGCAGTGGAACCCGTATCTAGCCGCAATGTTCTTTCTGCCTTTCTCCTTAGCAACATGCCTGTCTGTATAACTGAGCCCAAGCTGTTCCTTAATACCTCAGCTCTCTCATCTGCAAAGTGGGGGGAAAAAAAAAAAATACAGATATTCCTTCATAAGAGCTTATCTGAGAGCTATGATTGGAAAGTTATACATACACATTGTAAAAAGATCAGCTAATCTATTCTCTAAGTAATTATCTCAGAGGGGCTTCCTTAACCTTACTGCAGCACACTCTGGGGGCTGCTTTTTCTCTGAAGCTTCTGCTGGGGGAAAAAAAAAAAAGGAAAAAAAAAAAAAAAAAAAAAAAGAGTTCAGCAGCTTCACATACCTTCCGAAACAGACCTTAGACATCAACCACCCCATTAGTAAAGCTAGCATGAGCCTCGACTTCTGATATGCATCTTGAGATATGAAATTTAGTACCGCAGAAAAACTACAGCCTTTGCATACAACCTAAATAAAGCTTTAAAATCCTACTGAGTAGTGTTTTGGATCAGAACACGTTTACGGGGGTGGGGGGGGAAGAGAAGATAGTCTTAGAAAATTATGGAATACTAAAATCCAGAGTACTGACTGTACCTTACAGATTTTGTATAGAGATTCCTGACCGTCTCCTTCTGTATCTTTAAAATAATCATGTGCTGGAAACGTGCGATGAATATCTCGGGTAATGACACTCTCCTGAGCAGAATCCTGTGAAGAGAAGAAAAAATCCACAGCATTAGCCTGCAAGCAATATAATTAAACACACAGAATACAAAATTCTACATGCAGTCAACATGGATACATTAGATAACTGCTTTACTGACTCATCCTCCAAAAATGCGTTTGTGAAGAAACTGAAAAACCTCTAGTTTCAACTGCAGCAATAAACTGCTTAACAACGTGGCATGCTTGCTGTCCTTTGGGCTCACAGTCCAACTTTAAAACTCATAGGAATCGAGTAGTTATTTAACCACAGTTGCTTTTTTTTCCCCCTACAGAACACATGCTTACACTATTTTTGTGAAAGCAAAAAAAAAAGAAAATTAGACTCTACCTTTCCGGTAACCTCAGAGGTACCAATTTTCAAAATATATCAATCTACCAGAAAAATAGTGTTGATTACAAATTAGAACTATTACTTGGAAATGTCAAAGTTTACCACTGAGTGTTCTTTAAAAGAACAAAAGGAGAGGAAAAAAAAAAAAAAAGTAGTAGCGCTCCACAGTCAGAGAAACCCCATGTATTTCCTTGCTAGCAGAACATCTCCAACTCGGTTACATTTTCACATTGATCAGTTCAGGTGGTGCCCAAGCAGAGGTGCTGAAAGCCATTTTAGAGGGGCTGAGGTACCCCAGCCTGACAAGCAGCTGCTACTGCAGGACTCAAGTCTCCTCTAAGTGCTGCATCATCTCTGTAACCTCCATATGGACGATTTGCACAACCAAAGACACTTAAAATGACACTAGATGCCAATGTTTAGGCAACTGAATTGCTCCCTAGACATAGTTACCTCTGTTCATAAGGAATAAATTGCTCGGAATGCTATTATTTTATAAAGATATTGGAAATGGTTGTAATCAGAGGGACTTTCCTCTGTGTATGTGAACAAACTGCCGGGGTTACATCTACAAAGACAACTCAAATTATCTTTAGTTACAATTACTCTCAGTGTGTGAGAGTATCTTTAGATTGGTAAATGTCAAACACCGCTTTTCTCTATTACTTCTATAAGCCTAATAGAAAAGAAAAAAAATAGAACCCTCACATGTGACCTAAAACAGAAAATAAATCCTCTGCAAGTACTTTGGCCTTGAAAACAAAGAAAACATTTGTTATATAAACAGACTGGAGACAGCTACCAGGGGCACCTCCAAAGTCTAGGTGGTTTCTTGCTCAGGTCCATGTTTGCTCAGGCTCTTTACCATAAACGTTCTCTGACTGGTGTCCTAATTCCCACTTGCTTTGCTTCTGCTAAGGAAAGGAAGACTGCTACAGAAAGGAAAGCTTCCTTTCTTCTTCTACTGGACTGATCTTTTTTAATGGACTACCCAGCACTGTTGGAGAAAACAATCACACTTTTGTGCTGAATCTTTTCATCAGGTTCCCATCACAATTTTCAGGACATCTAAACATCATGTAACTATTAACAACTGAAACTAAGCACACAGTCTAAACAGCATGCAACAAAATAAAGAATAAAAAACTAAGTAATGAGTAGTTTGCTAACCAGGGTTCTTTAATAAGCATTTTGATTTCCATCGCTTTCAAACACATGGGAACCTAAGTAATTGCAATATTCTTCTCTTACACTGATCTACCAATTGTGCTACGTATTATGAAATGTCTTAAATGCAATTTAAGATCGAGGGCTAGAAAACATTTACTGAGTCCATTTAAAAATCTCTTAAATTTCCAACAGCAGCCAATAAAACCAGATCAAGGAGAAATTCAATTCAATACTGATTGAGACGATCCAGCTTCTGAACTCATATTGCAGACTACCATTGAGTAACCTCATATTAACCCTCCAGAAGCTCAGCCTGAAAACAGAACTATGTTAGAAATATTTCAGGAAAAATGATCTGGCATCACAGACATTTTACACAGCTCTAAACCCTTATAAAGAGGGTCACTGTATCATACAAAAAGATTTCTAGTTTCTCTTCAAAACATTATTGGACACAGCCTACCCTAATCCATGCACGTTCTCTACCCAAGAATGGGAGGCAAATTCTAGAAGGGGATTCAGGTAGGATTAAGTCACCTCAGAGCTTACACTCCAAGGGATTTGAATACAAACCAACAAAAAAAAGAAAATACAGATTTCCAAAATCATGTTGTAATGTTGGATCTTGCAACGCATTAGTAACACTCTGTCCAAAATATCCTTTTCAAGTGTTACAGTTCTTGATTAATCTCAAAAAAAGAGTACAGCATGTATTTGAGTGTGCAAAGCCTTACAAGGTAGATATCCAAGGCAAGACTGAAACACATTTTGGTATAAGACCTAAATGCAAATTCATTTTTTCTAAGTTAAAAAGAGCCAGAAGTAGAGCTGACTTACAGCATTATTAAGAATAGATGTTTCTGAAATGCTAGAGAAAAACAATTAAATGATCCCCCAATAAAATCAAGGCTAAAAGATAAGACAAAGAGCCTATTCTGAAAAAACAGCATTCATCTCAAATCCATAAACTCATGCGCTACCCAAGATAGCAAAGGGGCCTAGAGTGAAAATCAGTGCACAGCAACATTGTAAAATATATGAAAAATATTTTAGTAGAGTTCCTACATATTTCCAAATAAATTTGTTTACTGCCCTGCTCCCAGGATCATCCCATCAGATCAGGTTCTAGTTATTCAAACAGAAGTTTCTAGAAGATTTTTATTCTGCTGAAAGTTGTGATTAGTTAATTATTCATGACAAAAGACAACAAAAGGATCTAGTGAGGATGTGGGCATAGGATGTCAGAAGACAGACTTCGTTGGATTTTCAAATACAGAAAATCATGTTAAAAGAAAAATTAAAGTTAGGGCTCAAGGCACTCAAGAACTAAAGGGAAATCTTTGTGCGGGCACACATTATAAACTACTTTTAAGCAAGAACATTTCACACATGCTCCAAAAAGACCGCTGGCTCATTTATTGTCCTGAACAAACCCCTTCTGGAGATGAGCTAGGGTTACGCATTAAGAGAGACTCCTGTTAAGTAGCATCTTGCTTCCTTTGCCTCGAGAAATTGTGGATAAGCATGGTAGGAAGCAGAACAGTGCAGCAGAAGAAAGAAAAATCTCATGGGCCACAACATCTCAGTGCTGTCACTTAAGGTACAGATTCTCTCCTTGTCTCTGCCCAAAAGTTTCTGTATGAAAACAGAAAAGCCTTTTAAATAAAATATTTCTTAAGTGGTCAGCTGAGTGCCTTGTATTATATTTCTGCCTGTATTGAAAGCCTGCACTTCATATAGAGAAATGCAGAGCTTCTTACAGTCGCAACTAAAGGAAGCTGGAGTTTTGCTTTAGAAGTTTTATGTGAATACTGCTAAAAATAATAAATCAGGTCACAGGTGTTTCAAACTTGGCAGCCAAACTTAGCAGTACTTCTGACCTCAATCTCCTTGTGCTCCATTTCCCTGGTTAATAATAATTCCTCTTCTCAGTAGGGTGTTATGAAAATCAATTAACATCTGAAGCACTGAAATACTGTCGTGATAAGTCCTGTAGAAATGCCAAAGAGGAAAATAACAACTTCATCCTCAATCCTGGTCTGAATAGTACGTAGTAAGGGGATGAGGCCACACAGCGAAAACATAAGAAAGAAAAATAAAAATCTACTCATTAGATAACCACTACTCATTCTGCACAAAGCAAGGAATGGATGCTGTGAAGAAACCAAAACCCCAGGACTGCGTGCCATTAAAACTGTATCATTATGCATATAGGTAAGTAATTTTCATATTGAACTTATTAACTTAAGGTCAGTAATCTTACTAAAGGTCCTTCAAGTTTGGTTTTACCATCCATATGTTACAAACAAAACCAGGATTTGTATATGCTGAAAAGTTAGTACCAACCTATCTTACTGGATACATTAAAAGGTCTGTGAAGTTCAAACAGCTGATTTGTCAACAAATTGCCTCATCTCTGCTTCATCCTTTCACCACCAAAAAACAACTGATTTTAGATTCCCAAGAAAACCAAGAAAAAAAAAAAAGCCGTTTTTAGCATCCAAAAATGCTTTTCACAACAGAAATCTAGTTTGTCATGTTCCTTTAGGATACTGCAGTGTTTCTATACACGCTATAGCAAGCGAGCTGCTGAGGCACCACAGCTGGTCACCACTGCCCTTCAGAGAGGCCAGGCCCGGGCAGACGGGCTGCGCAGCCGCCTCCGGGCACCACGTGGAAAAGCCTCAGCTGCTGCCAGGGGGAACCAGAGGTACCTGCAGTAGATCTCTGCTGCTTAATCCTGAAAAGGCTGCAGATATAAACAACGGCTTCTCAAGTGGATGCTGCTAGGTATTGTGATATATATTATTGCAACTTCCTTATTTTGTTCCTTGAAGTTCCTATATATACATATATATATATATTTATATATATATAAAACGTGGCTTTACTGAAATAGAAAAAGAGAGCAATAGTAACCTTATATTTTCTAGAGGACAATTAAAGCCAGGCAGCAAACACAAAATATACAAAATAGATGAGGTCAGGCAGAACAGGCTGGAAAGGAACTGGGTAACCAGCAGTTCCCCAGCTCTTACCATGGGCCTCCCAAACTCCTGCCTGCAGTGAAACCTGCCAGTAAATGTACTCGCATGTCATCACACCCTTCCTCTCATTGCTTTCTATAGGCATTATCACCCTCACAGTATGTGTGCAATCCAGCACAATATCCCAGGGACCATATCAACCAGTATTTCAAATAAAATCAGTAGGTATTCCTTTTACAAATCTTAAATAAAAACTGTTTGGCCCATGCTCAGTTCTCCTGCAGCATTTTTGTACTACTTACCTTGTAGTTTGGTTCAGTCCTTTTCTATAAATAGCTTTTCTCTCAACCATCATCAACTCATATTCAGCTGAGAGCAAACAATACTCCAAGAGTACTCATTAGCAGAAAAATAGAGGATTACTTGAGAGGTTTTTTTTTTTTTTTAATAGCAGTTACATACTAAGACATTTAAAGTGAAAACAGTGTTTTAAA